GAGGCGTACCGCCCTGGTTTTGGAGCCTCTGAGCGTACCACCTAGACCTTTCCCTTTCCCTGTCCTTAGTACCACACTGGTTTGGAGCCAAAAAACGTACCGCGCATTCAAGGCGTACCAAAGGCTTTTTGGAGACAACAAACGTACCGCGCACTCAAAGAGTAAGAAGGACACATTATTCGATCCCTAATTAGGTACCACAGAATCCAAAAAGCATTTGATACATGTATATGTTTTGCGTGTATGTATTATATGTATTTACATATATATGTATGTATGTGTATATTGGCATGTATGCACGTTATATGTGTACATTATGTTTTTTATATGTATGTATATATATGTAGGTATATGTATGGTTTATATAAAAGCCATACATATACCTACATATATATATACATACATATATACATTTCTAAGAACAACTTGAACTGCTTTCAAATCACAGGCAGCACAAACAGACGTCCCTAACTCAGAGGATTCAGACAAGTGATGTTGGCAGCTGAAAACCATGCTGAATGAGTGAGTTTAATGGAGTTGAATGAGTGAATTGAATGGGGTGGCTGATTTGGCATTGCATTGACTGTCGCAGCTCCTCCTCTGAGCAGTGTGAGATTGTTGCATTGTCTGGTGTCATGCCGCCCAAAAGCAAGGCAAAGCGTGCAGCTACAGCGGAGACACCTGCCGTTCCTGAGTACAGGAACCCCAATGTTGAATGGCATGCGCAACTGGAAGAGTGCTTGGACGTGTTGCGTGGCCACTATGGGGATCTCTCAGCCATGGAGCCCATGGAGCTTACAGAAGGGGCTCTCAATGAGCCTATCAATGAGAAGGTTCTGCTTGAGAGGATGTCAGATTCGACAAGTTCAGTGTTGCTCAGCGGTGGTGTGAATTTGTTGTGGTGCAGTCCGCTGGCAACTCAAACCCCCAATGTGAAAATCAACGTCAGTGCTGTCATCTCACAGGCAAAGAACCAATGGTCTGGAGGACGAGTCAGCCCATTGCTTGAACCTGTGGATTTCATCCGCACAGACTCTGGTGCCTATGAAAGGGTTTCTCCGGAGGAACCAATTCAGGGTTTGATCTACCACATTGCATCCAGGATCAGAGAGGGAGCCCCAGAGGCGGAACTTGCCCAGTGGAAGGCCATCGTTTTGAGTTCGCAGGGGCGGATCTTGAAGCTTGACGGCTTTGACGACAAGTACTTTCACGCCATCTCAAGAAGGCGCCGGACTGGGGATGCAGCGAAGGCAGTAACCCACCTGGCAAGCCAGATTTGTGCCGACATTTGGCTGTTCAAAAAAAGAAAGGAGAGCATGCTCAACAAAACAATGACCAATGCCGAGATTGCAGCGCTGTACTTGGACAACATGGCGGACACCGTCAACGACGAGGAGCCCCGGTCTGACGAAGCAACCATACAGAGAGCCTGCATTGTGTACGAAAAGGTCCTAGCCAATGATGTTGTGGCCAATTGCATTCAATGGTCTGAGAAAGAGTTTGGGGCTGCCTCACCCTGGAATTCAATTGCCAAACTCAACGACATCCAGGCAAAGTGCAAACAAACAGCCAAATTGGAGTTCTTCTTTGAGACAGTCACAGAGGCGATCCGCATGGGGCACATTGAATGCGGTGATCTTTCGGCCTCGAAGCTCAAGAAGAACATGCTGGACATTGTGCTAATGAAGAAGCAGCTCAAGGACTACTTGACCGGCAGATGGTTGGACTCACGCCAGTTTGATTCCGACCACAAGGCGGCAGCAAGGAAAATCTTTGCTTCTGCGAGCAGCTACAGAGAGAAGTTCGTTGTGACTTGTTTGTTCTTATTGTTTTGTTTTGGTTTTTATTGTTGGTGTTTTGTTGTGTTTTAATTGTCCAGCATCCTGAGTGGCTCGTCACGCATTGATTCTATGTCAGGACAGCGAACGGACGTGGATGTCGCAGTGGCCTCCATCAGCAAGCAAGATGATGGACCTGTTCGAGTACTGCTACACATTTGACAGCAGCGAACTTCCGCAAGTCAAAGCTGCCATCAAGGCTGGCAAGACCGCGCAAGAAATGATCGAAGAATACCAGCCATACAAAACGATGATTGAGGAAATCAACCAAGCACTCACCACTGAGTCAACATTGCTGGATGTGACCCACACGGAAGAAGCAGCCCCTGCACAAGCGGCTACAGAACCAGCCCCTGCAGATGCAACGCAGCCGCTGACCGTGCATGATGAGGGCGTGAAGCTCCATGAGGTGGATGATGGCTGGTTGTCGCTTTGCGAGCGAACCATCGCAAAGCACTGTTGCCTAATCGTTGACAAGGGCATGTCACAATCACAGTTGGTCAATGCAACTTGCAATAATTAGGAATGTTTACATTCATGTTGGAAAGTTATTTCGGTGAAGTTGTTTGTCCAACATGCGTTTCGTTAATTCTTGGCCGTTCAAAGGCATTGGAGAAATTCTCGCTATCAACAGTGAGGGGGAACACTTCAGGAAATTGCCTGATTGTGTTTGACGCGAATGTCTTCGGGGAGGCCATTACTGCACCTCACATCCGCCGAGCTCCGCTCCAGTCGACAGCAGTAACAAAGGTGTTCAAGGCCATTTCCAAGGTGAGGGAAGTTGATCAGCCAGGCCTCCTACCCCCAGGAGACATATTGGTGATCATTGACGGAGGACGCAAGAGCGTGGGGACTCTCCTCAACTTGTTTGGGATGCACAAGGATCGCAAAGCCTTTGATAAAGGCCGCAAAGAAAAGGATGGGAAGACTCTTTACAGGCAGATCACCCTCACGTTCACTGAGGACAGCGTTGAGCGCAGAAAATTCAGGAAGAAGACCAAAAGCTCATACCTGGAATGCAGCCAGGTGGCACACGTTTACTACAATGGGGGCTCGACCATTGTGCCCAAAAAGAATGTGCACTTTGCCGGGACCAACATGGGAGATGTTCTTGGCCCGATCGATTTGCCTGCTCTTCAGAATCTTCCAAAGTTGAAAGTCAAGGACAAGAAGGAGTTCTGGGGTACTCGCCGCCGTGCGGTGGGAGGCAAGACCGGGTCAGATTCTGATTCAGAGGGGTCTGAATCAGAAGGTGAGGATGAGGAGGCCGAGGCGGCCACGACCATCGGCGACTTGACAACTCTGCCAGGTGTTGGGGCTGGACGAGGGGCGAAAGGTTTGAGCGATGAGATTGTCCAGCCCGTGAGCTATCATCAGCTTCCATCAACTGTGATGGAAAGCTTCATGCACAGCTATTCAGCCATCAACACCATTGATATGACTCCTGGAACCGGAGATGCCGCAATCAGCGCAGTGTTGATGAATTCGGGCTATGTTGGCGTATGCCACAGTGAAGCACAGAAGGAATTCATCTTGGTTCGGCTCAAGAAGGTTCTGCTGGAAGCTATGAAGGATCCTCGGAGCAAGGTGTACGCTCCAGCGTATGCCAGCCAGATGGAACAGCAGAATGAGGCCAAGCGCCAGGCAGAGACAAAGGATCCGAACCCTGCTGCAAAGAGCAAGGCCAAGACTGCGCCCAAGCCGATCAAGCCCCCTGCCAAGGACGACCCGAACACCGATCCTCAGGCAAAAGTCAAGTCGCAGCCGGCCGATCTTTCCGAGAAGTTGAAGGAGCTGCTGGCCAAGAGCAAAGGAGCGGGAGCCGGAGGCCCTGATGCGGCCTGAGGGTGAAGTGCGATGACATGTCGCTTCCCATCCTGAAATCGCCATCCATGAAAACGCCAGGCCAGTCTAACGATTGGTATTCTTGGGAAAACTCTTCTAATCGATTGGTATTTCACATGCTGTGTGATCGTTTGGCTTGGCAGTCTAACGAGGATGGTCTTCCTGTTGCGTGTCGATGTAGCCTTGTTGTTGCCTTGTCTCACAATACATTGACTAGTTTCATGTTGGCTAGTATCACAATACTAGTGTTTCCCCAGTGGAAGAATCAAGGCTGCTCCATGCCATATAAAATATTGAGCTTCGTTTGCTCGCAGAAACACTTACGCGCTTTGACACTGCTGTAAACTTGTAAAGATGAAGCGCTGTAAAAGTGCTTTGAATAGATCTTGCAACTTCTAGAGTTGAAGTTACGAGATCCTTATACTATATAATTATGCTTTGAGTTTAAGTTTGTTTGTTTGACTTTGAGTTTGACTGCTTTAAGTGGATGATCTTGACTTTTGAGTTTGCTTGCTCTCCCAGGCTGCGCGACAAGGAGAAGGCAGACTATGATGTCACGGACTTAGCGATGTGCTAATTGCATGATGTGAAAGGCTTCTTCAGACAAAACACAGCGCTGCAAAAGTGCTAATTGCATGCATTTTGCCATGATCATGGCGAAATGCATTCATGTTCTTTAGTGTGTTCTGCAGTGTGTTTGTGCACACAGACTGGACTGGTTGAACCAAAGCCCTTTGTGCACACAGACTGGAATGAAAGAAAGAGGAGAAGAGAAGAGATGGCAATTTTCCTTTTGGGTTGGACAGGGACAAGGCCATGACGCAAGAAATGCTCGGTCCAAATCGGTCCAAAAAAGGTCTTAAATTTAAGACCTTTTTTGGACCGATTTAGAGCCATCATTTCTTGCATCATGGCCTTGCCCCTGTCCAACCCAAAAGGAAAATTGCCAAGAACAGAAGAGAAGAAAAGATAAGAGAAAACAAGAGAAGAGAAGGGAAGGGAAGAGAAGCGAAATGAAGCGACGAGAAGAGAAGAGACGAGAGGAGAGGAGAAGAGAATAGAATATATATAAAGGAACAGAAAGAAAATAACAACAACATTGAAAAAGGACAGGCGCTGCTACAAATGCCTGCTGGCTCTGAGAAAGAGGTGCCTCGAAACATGTGTGGTTTAAAGTCTGGATGAACAAACGCCATATAAGATCATATAAGTCGAGGTGCTGCACAAGTGCCTCTGGGTCTTATATGATACATAATTCTACGAGTGACGCTGGCCTTCTACAAGAAAAATGTCTTTGCTCGACTGAACTGGGTCAATATTTGTTTGAAACATCGTGCATTCAAAGTCTGGATGAAAGAAGCGAAGAGAACACAAGAGACAAGAAGAGAAGCGACGAGAAAAAAGAGAAAACATAAGAAAATATAAGATAAGACAAAACATGAAAGAAGAACAGGCGCTATATAAGTGCAGGCTATATACAAGTATATAAGTGCAAGCTCCGAGTAAGAAGTTCCTCCTAACATATGTCGTTTAAAGTCTGGATGAAAACAGGCAATATATTATCATATAAGTCGAGGTGCTGCGCAAGTGCCTGGGACTTATATGATAATTATCATGCTACGAGTGACTCTGGCCATCTACATAAAACATGAGTTTGCTCCACTGCTTCACTGAACTGGTTGAATATATTGTTTGAAACATCGCACGTTTACCTTGTGGTTGAGATTGAAATAGCAGTAGATCTCTTGTCACGAGCAGTTTTTTTGAATTCAATAAATATCACCAAAGTGATCAACATCGGTACTAATGCAGCACCGCGATGTATTGATCGCTTTGTCGTTAATGATTTGCAAAGTCCAAAGTGAAATGAAACAGACATGCATTTCACCATAATTACATATGTAGATTTTTTTACATCTATATGTTTATATACAAATATTCAGCTTTCAATTGCCACACAAATATTTCGACAGTCCAACGCTTGAAAGTATGGCCTTAGAACGTTGAAACCATCGACGCGCAGAGAGACAAAGAGAGGCAAACCTGAACTGTAACAAATCCTTGTAAAATCAACAAAAGGCTGGGCGTTGAAAGGCAGTTTATCGCCACGTTTTTCTTTTCAAATTGTCAGTCAGCGCATGCAACTTGGAGCTTCTAATTGCGGCCTCGTTTTGATGCCTTCGCAATAACTCCATGTCCTTTAGGAAACAAGCTGGCCACAGTGTCTCGAAGAGCTTTGTTCTTCTTGATGACCGTATGTTTTTGATCTTCGCTGAATTTTCCATAGCCCTCATAAGTCTTTCGATCTTTGATCCGGGCGAATGCCATACCTACTTCGTCAGGAATTCCAGCTGATTTCAAGTCATTGACCATCCGATGCCGCCCTGAATGAGTCCTTATAGAAGATTCAACAGGCTCGTGAAACGTTTTGCGGAGTCTTGACACCGCCTTGCACGCAGTGTCTTTGCTTCGGCAAGTGCCATAGGAATCATCTCGACTAGTAGGAAAGAGTTGCCCTTGATCAGGCCAACGCCATCTATCGATCCAAGTGACTTCGCCTCTTGCCCCCTTTCTAGTCGTCCGCTTCCGAGTGATCCCTTTTTCCTTGAGGAATTTCAAGACTTGTTTGACCTCTGGCAACAACGGCTTTCGGACTGCTGCTTGCTTCTTAAGTGGGCCAACGAGCACAAAGTTTGTCTTGAATGAAAAGTCTCGTGATTGTAGCCTCAAGCATTCGGTGATCCTCAGACAAAGTACATGGGTCAGCAGCAACGCAACGTACAGCCAGCAACTACCCTCCTTCAGCACATGTAGAAGCCACAGAGACCACAATTGACCTGGAAGGGCTGCTGCTTTTCCCAAGGTCTTCTTGCTCTTGGTCTTAGTCTTTTGGCCTTTCCCCTTCCTGGTTGACCCACGCCGTACCGCCGTGCGCCGCACCGCCATGATCAGAGGTCAAGTCGATCTATTAAATGTCGTGGGGAAA